GGGGGTGTGGGATGTGGGGTGCAGGAGTGCAGGGGTGTGGGGTGCGGGGTGTGGGGTGCAGGGGTGCTGCATCACGGGGGTGTGGGATGTGGGGTGCAGATGTGCAGGGGTGTGGGATGTGGGGTGTGGGGTGCAGGGCTGGCACCCACCTGTTGATGACATGGTTGCTCAGGTGTTGCTTGAACACGAAGCCCCAGCGCCTGATGGCGTTGAGCAGGGCTTGCTTGAAGGGGCGGCAGTCGCACTGCAGCCAGCCCAGGAACACCACCGTGTTCTCACACTTGGAAACTTCCTCGTAGAGCTTCTCGTATGAGTCGATCTGGAAGACACGGCCGCTGGTGCCACGTCACGACCTCGGGGTGGCCTGCGGGCAGCGGGGGGCACCAGCCTCTGCTCTGCCCTCCTCGTTGCTCACCACCACCAAGGGCCTGTCCAGCTCAGGCCTCCCGTGCTGTGTGCTGTGGCCGCGGCGGGGGCCTTCTTTCAGGTCCCCAGCGCCCTGCTTCCTCCCACTGCAGGGCCTTTGCACGTGCTGTACTGCGCAGCCTCTCTTGTCCCGGCCCACCTGCCCATCAGCTGTCAGCCCCAGGGGCATTCCTCAGGCCTCATTCCCTGACCTCCTCCGCATCCGCTCAGCCGTGTGGCCTGGCTGGGGGCCCTGAGCACTGGCCCAACCTCGCTGCGCCTCAGCTTCCTGACTGCACAGTTCTCTTGTTGGACCTGCTAGTTTTCTTTCTCCCCAGACCCTCAAGGTTCCTTCTAACGCTGCAGGCTGGGGTGGCCCTCATGCCCAGGATAATTTAGGATCACGGCAGTGAGGAAGGGGGCGACAGGCAACCCTAACAGGATTTCAGAAGGTGTATAGGGCAGACTATAAAGGGAGGAGCGTGGCCCCCGGCTCCCAAAGGGCACTCCCAGCTGCCCGCCTTCCTGGGGCTTTCTGACTGCACGGTCCGCCCGCCCACCCGGGCAACAGGGCACGCCCCCGGGGACGGCCACCTCTGAGTCCGAACGTCCGTCCCTGCAGCCATGACATGGCCCCTGGGGACAGCCACCTCTGAGTCTGACCTGCCCTGCGGGGGAGCCAGAGCACGCCCACCCGGGGAAGGTCCCCGTAGTGGCCACGCCCACACCCGGGCGCCCTTTCTCCCCGCCTGTTGGGAAAAGAGCTGGGGGTTCCCTGCGTTTTAATCCTGCCCGAGCCCCTCTCCTGGAGGCCCTGGGGGCCCGGCGCCTGCGGGAGGCGCCCGCTCGCACCTGCTGCTGGAACTGCGCGAGGGTGGGCGGCGTCCTGGGGAGGCTGTCGTCGGCGCGCGCCTCCAGGTCCTCGGGCGCCATGGCGCGTCCGTAGGTCAGAAAGTGCTTCATGAACTCCTGCAGGTCGTCCATCCACAGGTAGGAGTAGCGCTCGAAGGAGTCCTGGTGCTCCTCGGCCACCTTCATGGCGCTGATGACCAGGCTGGAGACCTCCTCCCTCATCTCGATCAGGTCCGTCATGTCCTCCAGGTCCGTCTGCGGCGGGAGGAGCGCCCGGTGAGCCGCCTGCGCCCCGCTCCCGCCCCGCGCCCAGGAGGACGGTGCTCTCCCCACACGACCTGCGCATCCCTTCATCCCTTCGTGGTCACTCAAGGCCTGCCCAAGGCTGGGCCAGACCCCACCAAGAGTCACACACATGGGGCATCACTCGGGCTGCAGCTCTGAGGAGTGATGGAGTGGGGTGGAGGGGTCCAGAGGCTCGGCAGGCACGTGGGAGGAAGCAGGGTGTGGGGAACCGACCTGAGTCTCTCACGGCCCTGGAGACCAGAGCAGAGGAGGCCTGAGCCGGACATGACCTTTCTAGTTGCAAGTGACAGAAAACCCAAGCCAAAGAGGTTTAAGCAAAGAGCAGACTCATCGGCTATGAAAGTGAAGAAGTGAGATGGGGGAACCCAGTCTTGCGCATGGCTTGGTCACTGGGACCCTCATTCTGTTTCCCTCCATCCCCCTCCGTGTGTGGCCTTGTCGGGGCCCCAGATGGGCTCAGGGATTCCAGAATGCAGGTCCCAGGTTTGGCCCTGTTGGCTGAGCTGGGAGCAGGTGGCAAGCTCCCAGTGGACCGCTGGAAGAGCTTCACGCACCTGGAGGAGGCCTGCACCTTTCTGTGGTTCAGAAGGCTATGGACCACTTTCTGTACCTGACCTGCCAGCTCGGAGCCTGCTCCCACCTCCCAACTGCTCACTCATGTCTTAGCTCCTCTCGGGAGCCACCCTTGACCTTCCCAAGAAGTCAGCTGTTTCCTCCTGTGTTCTCACATCACCATACACAGGCACACACACTCATGCACACACACATGCCAATGTGAACACGTGCACATGCATGCACATGTGTGCATACACACCTGCATTCACAAACAGGCACACGTGCACATGCAAACACAAATGTGCACATATGTATAATGCGGCACACACAGGCACACAGATATGACATGTGAAGGCAGAGATGTGCGTGTATGCACACAAGACATACAAGGCATCCTGCAGAAACATACATGCACACATGAACACACACAAATATGCATGCACAGGCATGCACACCGGCTCACACATGCATGTACACATTTGCATGCATACACGTGTGCACACATACACATGCACACTCCCTCCCTAGCAGCACAGAACATCTGCTGTGATTACTGTTGCAAACAGGACCAGTTCAAGCAGCACAGGGACCTGGGAAATGAAGGCCCCTGGTCTTGCTCTGCCTTGCCCTCCCCCTGGTTCTCAGAAGGAAGCCCTCTTGGCAGTGGGAAGGGCATCCACACAAAGACAGATGTCTCTCTGGTTCAAGAACTGGAACCATGTTCTGAGCGTTGTTCCGTAAGGCACACATGACACCAGCCTCTCCCCACGCCTCGCTCATGTCCTTGGCCTGTGGACGACGCAACACGGGCAGCTATGAGCCATCTCACTGCCCATCTCTCAGTGGACAGGCAGGCTGCTTCCAACTTCTGTTTAACTGTCCAACAAATGATGTCTTGCCAGACGCACCTCTTGGTCCCTTCAGGGGAGCTGTATTTCCTAGGACATCTGCATCCCAGAAATGGGTCTGGCTGCCTGGGACACAAAGGGGGCTCTGGTGGCATAGTGGAAAAGGCATCTGGCTGCTACCAGAAGGTCTGTGGTTCAAACCTGCCAGCTGCCCACGGAAGGAAGATGGGGCAGTATACTTCTGTAAAGATTCACAGTCTTGGAAACCCAGCGGGGGTCGCTCTGAGTCAGATGACTCGATGGCCTTTAGGGTTCTGTTTTGTTTTGACCTGGGACCAGTGGGTATTTGACATATTGGGAGTCAGTGGCTTTGGGAAACACTGGAAGGTGCATTTGTCAACATGCCTGTGTGCTGAGAGTATCATGGTGTTGAAATGATTGAACAGAGCGAGGTGCCAGGGAGTGGCATACAGTTACGTTCTTAGTGTCATGTGCCTAGGAGGTCAGGAGGTGTTGAGAGGAGAGCGTTAGGGGACGGAACCCAGGGCGGGTTTGGGGAGAAGAACGGAGTCCGGGAGTGGGGAGACTGGAATCTTGCTTTTCAGTCGGAAAAGGTAACGGAATACAAACTTCTGTCCCCCGCCCCCCCGCGAGCTGTGCTCGAAACCATCACCATTTAAAATGCGACCAGCTCTTTCTGAGTTGAGAAGGGCCCCGGGGAGGCGGCACTAAGCCATGACTGACCTTGTAGTTCATTCTGCCTTTGGCCAGGCGGGGGATGAGCTTGGCTGCATTATAGATGTCGTTGACCAGGCCCTCAATCAGTGCCAGGAAGCCCTGGTCCGAGCCCACCTCCAGGGACGGGTTGAAGATCAGCCCGTCCTCATCCAGCTCCATGCGGACCTCAAACAGGGGCGCCACGCTGCCCTGGAAGAGGTCACACCAGGGTCAGAGCCTCTACCATTGACAGAATGACTCCCAGTGCCCCACTGTCCACTCCGAGCCCTGTCCAAGATACATGACCAACACCCCTGGCCAGGGCCGCTGCTGGAGGCAGGCTCGGGGGGCCCCTCCACTTGAGGAGCTCCTGAGAAGCAGAACTTTTAGCTACAAAACCAAGATTGTCCAGGAAAACTGGGGTACGGGTGGTCACCGCAGGTAGACTTTGATAAATCTGTTTATTTGCCACAAGACAACCTTGTGTTCCATCAGGAAACCTTAACGCTAGACTCCAACAAAGACATCTATACTTGATATAAAAACTTACATCCACGGCCATGTTATCCACGAGGTAGCTTAAAGAGTTGCGGATAAATTGGTCAAATTCATCCAAGACCGTGCTGTCGATGTAGTTGACATAATCCTTCCAGGACAGGCTTGTCGTGTCGGCTTTGAACAGCTCCGCGTTTTCCTGCAAACACAGCCCCGAGCTTCGAGAAGCTGCTCTGGAGCCAGCTGCCCTGCTGGGCCATTCGTTCAGTCTTCCCTCAGTGCACCTGGTGACCCCCAGCCCTCTTGCCCCAGCTCACGGCAATCACTTGACCACGAGGTCGGCCATCACCAGACTATCCCTGCAGTGGGGCCCTCTGGTTGGTCTGGGTCTGGTGACCCATCACTGAAAGCCACACCCATGATCTGCACCATGGCCTGGAGGTCCCCAAAACTGAGCTTGGGAGAATTTTCTCTTTTTCCAGCCAATGCTGAGTTCTGCCTTTTTCATGGGCCTCAGATGTAATAACATGGAAGGTGGGTAAGATGGCCACCAAGTGAGGACGTCTGAAAACCCCCATGATGCCAGGGGCCCAGGCAGAGCTGTCAGGAACACCAGGCCACCATCTGCATTCTCCCTCTGAAGGTGCAAGCAGCGACTACCTCAGAGGCCAGCAGGGACATAGAACCACGGACCGTGGAGACAGTGGAGTGAGATTGTATTTGCTCATCACCTAGACAGCAAAGCTGGCGTGTTTTCACACAATACTGACTTGAAGGTGTTGACCCAGTGCACCATGCTCACACACTCAGATGCCCCTCCTTCACTGGTGCTGTTTCTTACCCACTCGTGGACGGGAAACCCACGAGGGACACCAAACACACACAGTCCTTGTCCTCCAGCACTCACTCTGGGAAAACAAGGTTTGCTGGCCTAGAGGTGAAGATGCCACCTGCCCGCACCAACGAGGTGCAGCATGGTTGCTCCACACCTTTAGAACAGAGGAGAACGGAGGCACAGCGAGGGGAGCAGGGCTTCCAGGGGGACGTGGAGGGTGGTCAGACTCTCTTGGATTAAAGATCCGACTTCTCTGACCATTAAAAATGTGTGATTTGTCATTTTCGGGGACTCCTAGCTCTGCCTTCATTCTCTCTCCTCTACTAAACACAGCGGTGCTCGTGGAGGACCCCCCGCCTCTCCTTACCGCGACCATGGCTTGGATCTTCAAACCCGCCTCCTTGACCGCCGTGTAACGTTTGTTGAGATTGACCATCCTTCCGTCCAAGTCTAACAGGGTGTCTTTCTTGTTGTCCTTTCTTTCAAACATCGGGTTCGTTGACCAGTCCTGACATGAAGATGCCAGAGCAGAAGAAGGGGTTTTGGAGAAAATGCTTGTTGGTCTTTCCTTTCACTAGCACTTACTTCTGTGTCAGTGTCCTCATGGTGGCTGATTTGAGAGAGGACTTGGGGCTGCTGAGGACTGGGACTGGGGGCTGCTGAGGACTGGGACTTAGACTCTTGACCAGAGAGCCCTGGATGGTATAACGTAAAACCAGTCACCATCTGGGGGACCGCCGAGAAACCACTGGCTGTTTCTCCAAGAAGCACCACTTTCTTGGGGAAAGAGACTGAGATCCCTTGTTTAGGGCGCTGGAAGGAGCTGAGAGTCAAGGGCTGTGTAGTTAGTGCTGTGTCGACGATAGCTCCCAACGGGGCCAAGTGGGTAAGTCCTTCTGTGGAAGCCGTTGACCTGCCAGCGGCGGGGGGGTCGGGGGAGGTGGGGGGACAGGGAGCAGGCTGGGGCTCTGGCTCTCCTGTGCTGAGGAGCTCTGCCAGTCTTGGATTATACTATGATTATAATTTTGATCTAGAATTATGATTTCGATTTTACTCTGTTACTCTATTATCCAGCAGTTCTAAGGAGGCCTGGTGGTGCAATGGTTACGTGCTTGGCTGCTAACTGAAAGGTCAGTGGTTCAAACCCACCAGTCGCTACACGAGACAAAGGCCTGATAACGTGCTCCGGTAAGGATTACGGCCTCAGAAACCTTATGGGACACGTCTACCCTGTCACGTGGGGTCACCCTGAGTCAAAATTGACCCAACAACACCTACCAACAGCGGTGTTTCTCATTAACTTCACAAGGCTGTATTGTAAAGACTTCTCTGATGACGGCAGTAGTCCCGTGCATGCATTCAGCGTTCCCCTCCCTCCCCTGCCCGCCTTCTCTCCATGCTCCTTCTGTTGCTTATGCTCACTGTCATGGATCCTGTTATTGACAACGCTTACTAACATGGACACTGTTTCTACTGGCACATTTTCTTTAACTGTATTGCGTTTGTCTTTGCAGTGTAATTTTTTCCAACCATATTTGAAAGTCAGGAGCTCTGGTGGCCTAGTGGTTAAAGCATTCAGCTGCTAACCACGAGGTTGGCGGCCACTCCACAGGAGAAAGATGAGACAGTCTACTTCCATAAAGATGTACAGCCTTGGAAATCCTAGAGGGCAGTTCTTTTCTGTCCTATAGGGTGACTATGAGTTGGAATCGACTGGATGGCAGTGGGTATGTTTGTTTGCTGTTATATTATAAAATTATTTCTATTTATCTCTTTATATTTAAGTGGTTCCAACACTCACTGCCAGTCTTTTTGAAATGTAAATTTCCTCTTGACTAAATTAGCAATGGCCTGGACCAGAGATTCTATGTTATTTCCACCCAGGAGTTGGGGCAAGGTGGCCAGCAGTGGAAATCACAGCAGTTTGAAGTCCCACATTAGTTAGGGCTGAAGGGGGACAGTCAAACATAGTGGGGCATTGTGATAATTTAGTTTGGATAAAGAATTATAGTTTAAATGGGTAGTTTCAAAAATAAAATAGAGCTATACTGTAGATATTGAAAATTGACGGGGGGGGTGGATTTTAAAGATTTCCTTTGGTTATGCTGCTGCAAACATCTTTGCAAATTAGGGAACTGATGACAGACTGTGGGAGAAGCTAGTGAAGGATTATTCCGTTTTTTGGGTTGGATTAGAGCTTAAAAAGTATTGCTTCTGTATTGAGAAATGAGCTTATTCCAGACAGGGCTGGTCTTTCCCACTCCTTGTTCCTAGCACCAGCCTGGTAGAACCTGTACACCTTTGCTGAATTCGGCAGAATAGAATAGAGTCAGATTCTACAAGGTGACCTGGGCTTGTACCAGGTGGGGACCACTTTGACATCAGTTGTACCACTGCCTTAAGCAGCACATGCCCACTGCCATTATGCTACACGGCAGCCCTTTCCATGAGCATCTGCACACGGCCTCATTTCTTCCAAGGCCTTCTCCTGGGCTGCCATTCAAGGCCTGCTCTGTACTTTATCACGGGCTCACCTTCATAGCCTGGGAAATCGCATCTATATTTTGTTTTGTTTTTTGCATCCTGGTCTGCAAGTCGTGTAGAATTTCTCGCGTCTCTTGAATATATCCAAACACACCTAAGACATAAGCATAAAGCAATGTTACAAACTGAAAAGTTTGGCCAAATGAAAGCTTCCCTCGGTTTGGTTAACCGTCATTATTGTAAGACAGCTGTCTGAAAGTATCTCTACTGTTTTAGAACAAGAAGCAGAAGGAATCACTGAGAGTTGTCTGGAATGAAATGTCGAGGAATAATGCACACTGTGTTTCTATGGAAACAGAACTTCCCTTCCCCAAAATACATGGACCGTTCCTTCCGTCCAAGGACCCCAGACTCCTGATGTTAAGGACCACCCCCGCCACATCTTCATGTGCCCCAGCCCCTCCAGCCATAAACAGAGCACTGGAGAGACTTGAACTTCTTGACAAAGCTCTCAGTGACCTGGAGCAAGGAGCTGGGGGAGAGATGTGTCCCTGTGCAGAAGAGAGGGAAAAGAAGCATGGCCTCTCTGCTCAGAAAAGTGGAGAACAGCCCCGGATCGCAGGCAGACAGACTGGAACATTTGATCTCGCCTTCTGGTGGAGGTGGTGCTGTAGGACGTGGCAGAGCAGGACTGGGAAGGCGGCCAAAGGCTGATGGTCTCCGAGGGGCTGCTGGTGGTTCAGGGGGTGGGTTGTGCAGGAGTGGGGCCTGGCCCTATGATTGAGATGAAGGGAGGAAGGGGAGCCGGAGGGACGTTTCTGTCTGCTTCTCTAACATCCGCCCTACACTGCCTGAGACCTGGCTTGCTTTGATCACCTGTTGTGCCCACGTGGGAAACCACAGCAAAGCATGGGCTCCAGCAAGAAGTTTGGAAACTTCAGAAGCCCGTGCAGCTCCCGAGAAGTCTTTGTCTAATTCCATTTATGAGCGACACCAGTAGGCTCTCTTTGGACTGAGTGAGCAGGCAGAACTATCTTTCACCTTTAAATAATCTCTTTGGGGGAAAGAGGAAGAACTCAGCTTCTGTTAAGGGTGGTGGCAGAATCTGGAAACGGAGGTAGTGATGGTCACACCACAGGGTGAATGTCACGGAATCATTTGTTTAAAAAGATGTTGAGACAGGAAATGTTTTGTTATCTATGTTTGCAACCCAACCCCATTGCTTTAGAGTCAATCCCAACTCATGGTGATCCAACAGGATGGAGCAGAGCTGCCCCCATCTTTCCAGGGCTGTAATCTATGGAAGCAGACTGCCACATCTTCTCCTGGGGAGCTGGCAGGTTCAAACCACCAGGTGGGGTTAGCAGCTGAGCACTTTACTGCTGTGCCACCAGGGCTCCTTTATATACATATATATATGGTCACTAGGAGTCAGAATTGACTCAATAGCAGTTAAGAATGAAAGGGTGGTCAGTGGACTGACTCCTGGTGATCCCATGTGGGTCAGAGTGGAACTGTGGTCCACAGGGTTTTTTTTTTTTTTAATTTTTAAAATTAATATTGTCATTGCCATTGAGAATATAATTCTCTTTTTTCAAAAAATAATAATTTATTTTTGTTGTTGTTGTTCAAAACATACACAGCAGGACATGCCCCAGTTCAACGGTTTGCACGGGGGCAATTCTGTGACATTGATGGCATTCTTCAAGTTGTGCACCCAGCCTCACCCTCCTTTGCTGACTGGTTCCTCCTCCATTAACACAAACTCACTGCCCCCAAGGCTTCCTGTCTGACCTTTCAAGTTGCTGTGGTCAATTTGATCCCATAGAGATAGCTCTTTGAAAGGGCACACATTCTGGACTGGCTTATTTAAACTGTTGTTTGGTTGGAAGAAGACTTCAGGCGATATTTTTGGTTTAAGGTTTAAAGATGATCTCAGGGCAGTAGCTTCCAGGGGTTCAGCCAGCCTTCATGGCTCCAGAAAGTCTGGATTCATGAGCCCTTGAAATTCTGTTCCACTTTCCCCTTCTGATCATGGACTCTTTCCATGGGGTCTCCCATGGCTAACTGCTCAGGAGTAGACCACCAGGCCTTTCTTCCCGAGAGCTTCTGAGTGGACTCAGACCACCAGCCTCTTGGTTAGCACCAAGCTCCTAATGGAATGAGCCACCCAGGGGACATGGGCAGGTGAAGCAGACCCATGACATCAGAAGGCAGAGGTGGCCACAAGCTCCTAACTGAATGCGCCACCCAGGGGACACAGGCAGGTGAAACAGACCCATGACACCAGAAGGCATGGCCACTCTAGGTGGGTTTTTGGACCGACACTAGACAGGCCAAGCCCCCACCCCCGGAGTGCCCTCGATACCTTCACCATTCCAAAACAATGTTGTTTCAGCAGCCAGTAACTTGACGTTGATTGCTTCCAATTCTGACTTGATGAGTGGATATTCTACTGCCATCACTGTGGTCTTTATCTGAAACACAAAGGCTCAACTTTTAGGGTTGGGTTCCAAAGCCTCACCTGCTCTATGGCTAGGATCCCTCTTACTCAACACACAGCGAGGCAGTGACAGTCAGTGTCACTTCACTGGGGATGGGGTGTAACTACATCTCAGAAGATTCCAACTTTGGAAATCATTTCTGAGTCTGAAGATGGTGATGGGTGGCTAGCTGGATGAACACACTTAATGTCACGAATGGTGCGTGTGAGGATGACTGCCGAGGTTGACGCCTATTACCTGCACATTGCCCACAACAAAACCAGTAACAACTCCTGGCGTAATGTGCTGTGATTTGGGGTTTGGGGGACAGGTCGTGTGGTACAAAGAGCAGCCCTTCCCAGGATCTGTGGGTGGGGTCCGTCAGAAAGGGGGTGCCCCATGCCCTGGGACCATGCTCTCCAGGCCACTTCTGTGGGCCTCCAGCCAGAAAGAAAGTGGTCTGAACATCTCTGGCACTGGAAGGGACTGTCCCTCAAGTCTAGCCAACCAGGCAACTCTTATTTATGATTGGCCACTTGTGTTAGGTCCCCAGACCTGATCGATGGCTGAAGAGGATGCTGGAACCATAGAGCTGAGGGTGGACCAGCCAGCTCCCCAGTGTGTCTTAGGGACACCCTCCCACACAGCCTGCTCCCTGGATACCTCCGGGGACTTGTCATCCTAGTTTGGATTCCAGTGACTACCTCTCCTCCACTTTGTTTTTTCAAATTTGATTTAATTTTTTGCTGCTGTTGAGAATACGCACAGCAGAACATACACAGATTCAGCAGGTCCCACGTGCACAATTTAGTAATGGATGACCTCCTTCGGATGTGCATCCTTCCTCACCTTCCTCGTCCAACTCGTTCTTCCCCGTCACCATCAACTCACTGCCTCTGAGGTTCCCATCTGATCTTCCGAGTGGCTGTTGTCACTCTGACCCATGTAGATGGTTCTTCAAAGAGCACAGCGCTCCTGGCAGACTTTCTTTACTAGTTGAGCTGAACTGTTGTTTGGTTTTAAGAAGGCATCAGGGGGAATTTGTGGTTGAAGTCTGGAGATATCTCAGGGCACTCTCCTCCACTTTCAGTGGGAGTAACACAAGTCATATGGAATGTGTTTGATATTGTCCAGAGCAAAACACACTTAGGAGAGGAAAGCATCTATAAAGAATCCTGCCATGTGAACCAATGTCCAGTGGAAATGGGGTTTCCATCATCTGCTGTTTTGAGTTATCACCATCTTTGCTGTTTGCATGGTAACTTGTGCCCTATTTGAATATTTAAATTCATTTATTCTTACACGTGGCAATCTTACACTTGTGTTTGTTCTAAACAAAAACTGAACCTTGGTGAGAACAAAACAAGAGCTACCCCAGCTTACCTCATTGTACCAACCAACGATGAGCTCCAGGTTGCCCACAAACTTCCGGAAGGTTTCGTTCTGGGAGAACAGGCTCTCTGCGCTGTCTGGAATCTCCTTTTGCTGCTGAAAGTTCAGGTACTTGACTTCTCGCAGCACTGCCACCAACTACGGCCAACAAAGATCAGAGGCAATGTCAGAAGGTAGCCCCAGCAGAACCACATTTAGCAACAGAAGGGAAGGGCTGACGAGCGCTGTACAACATGGTGGACTTCAAAGTTGGTGGAGGTGGTGTTTGAGGCGGGAGGATCGGGACAGAGCTGGCTGCTTCTCAGTTCTGGGCCAGAAAGCACTGATAAGCCAGGTGGGTGATGTCATCATCCTTATCTCCCTGCCCCCTCCCCCAAACAGGTTCCTTGGAGAAAGGCTTCAAGGAGTCCTCTGGGTCCCACCTAGTGTGTACCCTTGCCTCTCCTCCCATCTAGTTCTGACTCTCTCGAGCCTCCTTCCTCTGTGTGAGCCTGAACTAGCCCTGGAACCCACACTCCACGGCCCTCTAATGAGAATTCTCTCTGGCTTGCCTGACTTTACCTGAGGGCCCTTTTTTTCGGTTCTTGCAAGGCCTTTTTTTTTTTTAAATTTCAAATTGATAACACCTCTTGGGATAACTAGAAAGGCTACCAAGCTTTACCATAAGGGACTCATTGAAGCTATGTTTTCCTCTTATATCTTAACTCAGTCTGGGCGAAGAGACTTCATTTCCACCTTAACAGAAGGACATGCTTGACAAAACAAAGCCTCAGGCTAAACCCAGCATAGACATTGACCTCCAGTAGTATGTGTGCTGGTGGAGTAAGGGAGTCATCCTCGGTGCAATGGTGCACCTGGTGGGCTTGCCCCTGCCCCACGCTGGGAAACTGCTGTTCCCAGGTGCACCGGTTTTACGTGGGTTTGATCTTCAGATGCAGTGGCGAGAGGCACCCACCGCCTTGCTGAAGTTGACTTGGATGAGGTTTGTGGAGGCATCCCGCTGGATCAGGGGCTGTCCCAGGTTGAAGTAGCAGTCCTGGTCCACTCGGGCTACCCAGGCCTGGTAGGTCGCCTGGCGGCAGCTTTTCAGCAGCAGCAGCATCTCGTCGTACTTCTGGTAGATCAGCTTGGCCTCAACGCTGGACAGGACCCTGGAACCAGAGGCAGATGAAGCCATGGGCTCTTGGCATTGCCGGGCCTTTTGTTCAGGACCTCCTTAGCCCCTCCCTCCAGCCACTGCTGCCTAGCTTGTGGGCCAGTTTGGACAGCCAGCTCTCTGTTTCTTTGAGGCTGACCATCAGGGGTGGGGTCAGCCAGATACATCCTGAGTCACACCCATTGAGAAGATATTTGGAAAAGGAGAAAGAGGACTTGAATGGATATCTTCTGGGATTTGGCTTTGGGACATCATGATTTGGCCAGCATGAAGAGTGGGGTTGCCTAGGAGTTAGGTTGGCCCTCACCACCCCCATGGAGAGAGTGGTACATACCCTCTGGAGCCCTTGGCCAGTTGCCATGACTCACGGGTGCTCGATGTGCTTTAGGTCCCTCATGGGTGCCTCCAGCCTCTCCTGTAGCTCCAGGCTCCACTTGAGCTGACCAGCCACTGGCGGCATGTTCTTATGGATTGGGGGAATATTCCCCTCCTTGGAAGCTGCCATCTGGGCATCGTACAAGATCTTAGTGTTGTCCAGCTCTGCATCAAACAGCTCCAGCATGACTGAGTACCTGGGCACCACCTCGGCAAGAATCAGAGGCCGCTCCAAGAGCCCCCCACACATGTGCAGGAGCTGGAGGAGAAGAGAGAGGTGTGTGTGAGCCAGTGTCCTCCCAGTTTCCCATTGTCTACACTGTCCCAGCCCTGTGGCTGTTGAGGAAATGCACATGCCAGGCTTCAGGGGTGAGAAAATGTGTGCTCCTCCTGTAGTTGGCTGAATTGGGTCCCCCACAAAGATGAGTTGATGTTCTAACTCCCTATACTTGTGAGCATGACCCTATGTGGAGATGGAGTCTTTGGAGATGTAGTCAGTTAACCTGAGGTCATCCTGGAGTAGGGTAATCTCTTTATGTCTGGTGCCCTCATGAGAAAACAGAGACATTGACACAGACACGCAGAAGAGTGCCACGTGAAGACAGGGACAGACACAGAGGGAGGACAACCGTGTGAGGATGGAGGTGGAGCTTGGAGTGATGGTGACACAAGCAAGGAGCTCCTGGGCGGTGCACAGGGTTCAAGTACCCAGCTGCTAACTGAAGGGCAGGGAGTTCAAGTCCATCCACGGATGCCTCAGAAGAAAGGCTTGGTGCCCTCCTGCCAAAATACCAGCCATTGAAAACTGTGGAACACAGTTCTGCCCTGAGATGTATGGGGCACCACAAGTGGTGGGCCACAAGCAAAGAGACCTGGGGCTACCAGGAACTGGAAGAGCCAAGGAGGGGTCCTTCCCTAGAGCCGTGGAGAGACCACGGCTGTGCGACACTCTGGATTGGACTCCCGGCCCCCAGAACCATGAGAAGATAACACTGTGTTAAGCCATCCAGTTGGGGCTACTTCTTTTACAACAGGCCTTGGAAACGCATTTGAACACTTCTCTGTGTAGCAACCGATTAACTCGATGGCCCTGGGGTCTCTGGGCTGATGCACTCTGAGTCCCACATACTTGACTCCTGAACCAACAGTCCAGACTAGCGAAGGCTGGGCCTGGGGGAAGTCAGGGTTTGGGCAAGGGAAGGCTGGGCCATTGAGAAGACACAATGGCGGCAGTGCCACAGTTACGCCACCAAGGTCCCCTCTGCTGACCAGATGGAGAAATGTCGTAGTCACAGGAATCAGTCCTCTTAGGAAGAGTGCCATCACTCCTAAGGATGTGCTTGGTAACGAAACGACCACCAGGAAGCTGGTTCTGCTCTGAAAAACCGCTCTGGGGGAGAAGGGGAGTGTCATGGATTGAACTGTGTCACCTCAAATTTATGCTGAAGTCCTGACCCTTGGTACCTGTGAATGACAGAGGACAGAGTAGAACTGACCCACGGGGTTTCCTAGGCTGTAATCTCCGTGGGAGGAGCCCTGGTGGCACAGTGGCGAGGCATAGTGGTCTGCTCCATTCCAGCCCTCGGTGCACTTCTCCTCTGCCCTAGCCGGTTGCTATGAGTCAGGATCGACTCAGGGGCAGTGGGCTGGGCTGGGTTTGGAGTCTATGGGAGCAAA